AAAGAAATCTTCAAAAGTTTCTAGAAAAAGCGAAGTGCCGAATAAAACTTTTTGCCGTGTATGAGAGATCAAATCACGAGCTATCTTCCTCTGCATTTATCTGAATTTTGATCATTTTGAGGAATAGTGATTTTTCTTGAGAGATCCTTAAATAGCCTTTTTCAATTACTTCCGTATGTCTTGTTGTGCTAGGAAACGATGTCGCACTACATATCTAGTTATCGTGCTTATAAAGAATTAAAGTCTAGGAAGAAAAGCTATAAGGCTCACCATTATAGAAAAAATAAACAAAAATACTTATTAATCCGTTCGCATTGGTCTAGAAAACAATTAGGACTGAAATTATATTGAAATCGATTAAAAATTTATTATTATATTGCAATTTTTGCCTATTTTTAATCATTATTTAGACGACTTTGATCGAAAAAACCCAAAGTTCATTTATAATACGAATGACACTGATCATAATCGATTAGAACTTATTTAAAAAACCGACTCTTTTTGATGCAAACTGATAAAAATTGGGTGAAGAAATTTTTCATTTATCACAAAGAAAAGTTACTAAAAATCTAATGATTATAATCGATTTAATCTGATTTCAATCCGTCTTTCATATGAGCAGACTTGGTTCGACTGAAAAGTTGAGCCTACCCCAGACTGGATCCGCTCCGCCGCCTATGGGTACTACGGACATTTTAGACTAGTCATGTCGGGCGTCACTCCTTATTTTTTGCTCGCCTGGGGACACAATAATATCCTATATTTTTCATTTTTCTTTTTTATTACTAAGATATGAAATTACTACTGCTATTTAATGAATTAATTTTTGTCCATTTAATAATCTAAAATTTATTGCTTTCAAATGATTGCTAAGTCGTATTTTAATTATTGTTCATTTCAATATTTTTATTGTTCATATAAATACTAGTCAACTTTTTATATCTCTGCAATGTGTCAATGACGACCGCATACAAGCAAGTCTATCTATGATTGATGTTTACATAGGCGGCGACCAACACAATTCTCTAACATGAAATATGTATTCACATAAAGTATCCTATGCAATTTGTAGTGCTCTTGTTGATAATAGATTGAATAATAGAATTAGCTCAACATGATATCCGAAAAGTGTCTTTTACCGACTTTTTGTTGAAGATTGAGAAACCATTGTTTTCATAATTCATGTTCAAAGAAAAACTACAATTGAAAGTACTCATTATGTACAACATCATTTGTTATATTGAATTATGTATCACAAAAAAAATTTCAACTTAGAACGAGTGCATAATAAGTCTCAAAAATAATTGGTTGAATAATTTTCGAAACATGAAAAACAACATACTGCAATTGTATCATCAATAAAAACTCAGCAAATCAATGGATTGACTTGAAATTTATTTTAACTAGTGTACTAGAAACTATAGTCTGTAATCTAACGAAAACTAGGTCATTCTAGCTCATCTAGTTTTTGAGATAAACATAAAATAAAATAAAGGTATCCACTGGTTCGATAGTTTTTTCGGTCTCTGTATATTTAGATCTCAATTTTTTTTGTATTTTCATACTTATATCTCTATTTGAATCCTTTGGAAATACATTTCCTGTTTTCGAAATATATTTCCAATGAAAAGTATAGACGTAACCAAGAACGATGGGTGTGGATGTGGATGTGAAAGTGGATTTCTCTTATCTTAAACCACATCAACGTCCTCAACTCCTATTTGCTGTACAAAATGGATATTAGAAAGATACCCGAATGGGTAGACTTTCGTTTACAAATTAAACGTGAAATTTTACAAAGCTATCATACTCTAAAAATCACAATTGGGTGATTGGTACAGAGCTGTAAATCAACTAGACTCACTGCTAGACATTTTCCTTCTCTAGTACTGCAAATAATGGAAAAAAAAAAGGTATCGTATGTTCACATACTAGTAGGAGATCTAAAAAGAGAATAGATTCATGTTATATGTGTAAAGATTGTGATATGAATCTTTGCGTAGTTGATTGCTTCGAGGAATTCATACTTTGATAAATTTTTCGCTTCTGACGTGCTTTTTCCATTTCAAAATAAATCAGTTGCATCTTTTAAATAGGAGAATGGGATTTAAATGATCCAGATTATTTAAAAAAAGATATGCCAGCACGTGTATCTGATGATGATCCACGTTGTTGTTTATCTAGTTTACAAAAATTTCAAGGTGAAGATCTTAATTCACATGCACGAAAAAAATATCAACAAGAACAATTACGTGAATGATCACGTATGCAACAAGAAGATCAACAACGTGCACAACAACAACAAGCTGCTGATCGTTTATTTTATGCTAAACAAAATGAATTAGATCAACGTTCTATGGAACTTCAACGAGCTGAAGAAGAGTGTCGAAAAGCTATTAATGAATCGATTAAAAATTATAATGATGCTTTAGTAAGTTTAGGAGAAGATGTTCAACAATTTATATATTTCGAAATACAAGACATAATTTGGAGATAATATAAACGTTCACAAATACTGCATAGTATTCTAGTAGAACTCCTAAAAAGAGTTGAGTTCATATTGAGATTTAGTGGAGCTCTATTAAATATTTAAATATGTCTATTTACTAGAGATCCATGTATAGACTTGTGATAATTCGCAACCGAGAAATTGAGCTGACATTACTCATCCAGTTCTTTTGAAAAGAACTGGTCACTTGAAACAGTTCTCGAATAAAAACCGATTTATAGAACTATGAGTTACCTTGCAGATCTATCCGCGTAGGACTACTCTAGGTTTTCGGAAAAGTGGTGTTTTTGAATTTTGTCTTGAAACTATTTCGATTTGAAGGTTTCTTGCAGATATAAAGTCTACAAACTCTGAAACTCGTCATACAAGTTACTGTACATGAGATCTTACAATCGAGATAGTTTCAAAACAGAATTCAAAAACACTACTTTTCCAAAAACCTAGAGTCTTACACGGATCTCTAGTAAATAGGCATATGGTAAATTCAATAGCTCCACCAATATGAACTCAAATACTTTTAGGACTTTTACTAGAATAATATGTAGTATATGTAGGCGAACAAAGACATTAAAATTGGAAAGAGGCATCTGAAGAGGTACTCTTGTAAGTTGAACTAACAAGAAAACATCGTCAAGTCATGAATCGAATTTCATTAATTAGACTTTATTACAACTAGAGAGTCTAAGGAGATTCGTGACTAGAGAGCTTTCATCTTTAGTCATAATCATTTTCAAAATTGACTTTTTTGTATTCAGTCTTTACATAAATATAGTTCTCAATGAGATTCCTTCATTGTGAAAGTATCACTGGAATTCAATAATTTCGTTATTTATATATCGGTTACAATATAAAAAGCTTTTAGCACTATAACATACTTATTTTTCCGAAGTCGATTGCTGTCGTAATTATACGATCTTAATAACACTTCAATCGAATTGATGCATTATTTCATTTTGTCGGATAAATGTCAAAAAATAAAACTCATAATGTGAAAATATGATTTATTAATAGTTGATCTGTAAAATTTCTTTCAAGAAAAAATCCAAAAAAGTTACTTGAAAAAGAAAATTTACTAAAGCGAAAACAATCTTTCATTATTATAAGCTTTCTCTTTGAATAGATCTAGATTGTCCTATAGAAAATTTTTAAAAACAATTAATTTAATTCTAATAAATGAATGATTCCTTTTTTAAACTATATCATTACATGGTCTACTTATCAAAAAAAAAAATATTTCAACGTAAAATCATGAAGTGTTAATGTGTTAATAGATTAATATCAATTTAAACATATTCTGATTAGACTTTTTATTTGACATTTCAATATAACAAAAACTTCAAAAAAGCTTCTCAACAAGATTTCCATGAAATCTGATGATAAAAGAAAAAATACATCGCTTTAAAATCTAAACAAAGAATAGCAGACTATACTTCTAAAGACTGACAGTTTGACAACAATAGGGTGTGGGTAATAATCACCGATGTAATATGAGGATTAAAATATATGGAAGGTACGAATATTATCAAGTTTTTATCAAATTTGATTATAATTAATAGTTATCAATAATCAATATTTTCGATATAAAAAGAAATCTGTTAGCGCAATTCACGCACGATTAAAACGAAAAAAAATTTAAAACGAAGATCTATATCATATTAATATTTGATTATCTAGTATCGAGAAACTCAAGAACGTCGTACATTAAAAAACGTCAAGAAGAATATGATAATTTTGCTGAAATGGCAAATATGATAACAAGTGATTTATTAACAGAAAATCCTGATCAAGCTATAAGTCAATTTGGACCTCGTCGTGTTGTACCAGATCGATGGAAAGGTATGAATGAAGATCAATTACGTCGTATACGTGAAGAACAACAACATCAAATTGAAGAAAAAAAAGTAAAATTTTGATGTTTTGTTTTTTGTTTTTTCTTAAAGATTTAATCTTGTTTGTTTTGTTAAGCGTCGTAATGAAGAAGAACAACAACGTGAAGATGAATGGAATCGACGACGTATTACTGAAGCTAAAGCTGGAATGATTGTTGAAAAAAATCTTGAACGTGAACGACGTACATTTGAACATAATCTTTATAATGATAATCAACGTTTAGCAAATGAACAACGTAATCTCAAAGCATATCTTGATCGTGTTGTTTATACAAATCAACCAACAGCTGCTTATTTTATGCAGTTTAATACATCATCAAGATAAAATTCATTCAAATAGAAAAAAAATAACACTTTAGATTTAATTATTATTACTTTTTTTTTTGAAATATTCATTTTTTTATGTCAAAGAAAAAAAAATTAAATAAATTTTGATGTTCAACAAAATTATACTTAGGATTGATTAAAAGTTTTGATGTCTGGTATTTAAAATTTTATAAAATAGTTAATATCGAAAGTTTTAGAAGAAGGTATTAAAACAACGCCATATTCACTGGATCTTACACCATATGACTTTTGGCTAAATGGTTATATCAAGAGCAATTTGACTGATGAAGCAAACGAAGAATCGCTAGCTCAGGAAGTTTCCAAAATAGTGAAGAATATTCCAGAAAAAGTAGTTTAAAAAAACTTTGTACATTTAATAAAAAAACTAAAAATATCTCTTTAGTTTTATATTTTTATTTTGATGTTATTAGAACTTTTGTTCAGTCTTAAGTATATTATAGACTTTATCTAAAAGAATATTAGAATTAAATCCAAGATAGACTTGTTATATACATTATTATAGACGAAATACTCTACTATGTATTCATGCAATGAAACTTTCAATATTAACTATTTTATAAAATTTTAAATATCAGGTATCAGAACTTTTAGTCAAGCCTAAGTATAATAATCTCATGCATAATACTTTGATAGAAAGCAAAAATTCATTCTAATATTTTGAATCTTATAATTTCAATAAACGCATATATCGTTTGTTTATCCATCTCAACAAAAAAAAGTATTGTATTAAAATTTTCAAGTAATGAATATAAAAGCGTTCATAATAGTACAAATTTTAAGATTAACGAAAAGTATTGAATTTGAACTAAATTAGTTTTGATATATTTAATATTTTAGGCTACGTCCAAATTGCGAACAAAAATTAAGTCAATTAAGAACAAAGTGTTCGCAATTTGGAACACAGAAAATAACGTTGATCTTATTTTTATTGCATTTTTAAATTGTGAACACTTTTAATAATTAAATAATATAGTTTTAATTAGAAAAAAATTTATTAACAACAGAAATACATAACAAAAAAATCTATTCCTTATCACTACTATCTTCGGCATCTTGTATAAGATCTATATAATGATGAGAAATAAATTTTAAAGCTTTTTGATAAGCATGAAAATCTTTGTCTTGAATATATATTTGATTTGATAATTGTATTGTCTTTTAAAGTTATAGTACGTGAACAAGATTTGAAAGTACATATATACACAAATAAACCGTTCTTGTTTTCACGTCTCAACCCATCTAAATGATTATTATATAAGATAGCCTTTTCACTTCTTACAGTTGTTGACCAAGTGAAATTTGTAAGCATACTTTGACTTATGATACCATTCTTATTCTCAAACTTCTATATTTATATTATTAATAAAATTGAACTTATAATCAGCTATTGCAATCACTAATTAATCAAAGTGTTCTCAATTTGGAAACGCAATAAAAATAAGATCAACGCTATTTTCTGTGTTCCAAATTGCGAACATTTTTTTCTTAATTGGTTTAATTTTTGTTCGCAATTTGGACGTAGCCTTTACTTACTGTATATTAAATTATGACAGAAAACCAATCAAAATAAATATTATGAACATCAATTAAAAAAATCTCTCATCTTTATTTGTATGTTAAAAAAAGATCATCGACAAAAACATTTTAAATATATTTCGAACATATTCGTTGATTACTTATATGTATTATGTAGTGATTTTTCTTAATTGTTATTATTAGATAAAGTAAGATAGACCATCTTGGATTTCTAATCGTTCATTACGTTTTACAAATCATTTAAGAAAAAAAGAAAAGTTCCATAAAAAATTCGACTAAACTGATAACAGATCCAAAATACCATCGATCAAGAGTAAAGTTATGTTAAGTCTACTCAGTATGAGAATAATCGAAAATGAAAAAAAATCAATTCAATGAATAGAAATTGAAAAATAGCTTGTATGTGGTAGAAGAAGAGAAACCTAGCTCCTGCATCTACACCTACCCACCCTTAAAAATGATGGAGATTGAAAAAATCTTCGAAAAAATGTTTTTCTCTACGTATGAATCATAAATTCAATAAATAATTTCTCTAGTTTATAGGATGATCAATTTATTTTGAAACGATTTACATAAACTGTTTTCTCGTCAGTGGCTTATTCAGGTCCCGCAGTTTTCATATCAATCCATCTCACTTCGTCTGTGAATGTTGCCATAAAAATTAATTTGAGATAATTGAATGTCTTGTAAAATAATGGCTGATGACACGAAAAGAGTCGTTAAAACTAGCGTGTGGGTGTGGGTGTAACAAAAAAGGAACAACCGCACACCCACACTTAAACAACCACTAACATCAATACAATTATTAATACGATCAAAACTTTCATGATCAATGAAATAATTATTATAGTTCAACTTCATAAATATTTAATGTTTAAAGAGATGAAAACTATGTTGAATATTAGATTTCAATATAAATATGAAAATAATTTGTTTTCATTTTTTTTTAACTTCAGATAAAATATATCATTAGTAGAAGAGACATATATAATTGATAAGACACTATCTTCTAATCATTTTATTCAACGTCATGTTCGAGTAGATAATTTTGATTGATTATCATACAATCTGATCAAAATAAAATCTTATGAATAATTTATTTCTAATACTAATTAAAGTCTAGAAATGCTTTAGGTATATAAGAGCAACTGTAGATTTTGATCTGTAATCGAAAATTATTAAGAAAAAATTAGTTTTTGAATATACATTAGATGATTTTGTTTTTTTAATGTATAAATATCTCCGTAGAAGAAGTTCTATGATAGGCTTTTAAAAAAAATGTATATTACATACTATTAAAACAAAATGATCTTTTTTTTAAGATGGTTGATTACAACTAGTCTCATGTCGTTTATTATTTTAGATAAATGATTCAAAATTCTATTATTAATTATTCTCGATGGTTATTATTTCCATCATTTTTCTCTCCTTATTTAAGCAAGAATAATAATCGATTAACAGTAAAAAATTTCGATCGAAAAACATTTGATTATTTTTTATACACGTCGTCTTAAAATCT